CGTAGGCATCTGTGTCCCCCGAGTGGCCCCAGAAACTGGATTTCAAAGTGATTGGAGCTTGTTTCAATTCAGTTTGAAAAAGAAAAAAAAGCCTCGCGCCCAGTTGCCCACCATCAGCCCATTTCGCGTGCCTCTGTCCCTCAGCTTTTCAACATTTGTGCTCCTTTCTCTTTCCTTCTAGATGTAAGACTTCCATTCAGCCAGCTCTCCTGTGGTTCTGGGTGATAGACGTTTTGTCTTTTAGTTGTAGTTTTGAAATTCTTGTTCGAGGCAACAGATTAGTTGTTTACCTTTGCCGCCATGTTGGTTTCTCCTAGCCCTTGTCTTTTACTGCAGGCGCAATGGTAAACGTTTTCAACAAATGATTTTTATATCTTATGCATTTGTAGTTCAGAGGTTACTATATTTTGCTATTAAATGAAAAAGTAGAATATTTACTTAAAACTTTTGGTGTGAATTTGATCACAGGTTCCCATGGTCTGTGAAAAGACTTAAATTTCTTGCCCAGCTGATGTGGCTTGGTGGTTTAGTGTTGACCTATGAACCAGGAGGTCACGGTTCAATTCCAGTTCTTGCAAGCTCCATCCCCAGTGAGGCATGCAGAAGGCAGCCAATCAATGACTCTCTCATCAATGATGTTTCTACCTCTCTCTCCCTCTCCCTTCCTCTCTGAAATCAGTGAAAATACATTTTTTTAAAAAGAGATGATGAGAGAAACCAAGATGGCGGCATAGGGTAGACACCCGAATGCAGCCTACCACAACAAATTTGAATTTAGAACTGAAAAACAGGGGAGGCATTGCCCTGAAGCGCCAGACGGCTGGCTGAGAGGAGGCTCTGCCATCTGGGAAGGAGAGAGAAGGCACGCTGAACCTCAGGAACTGTGAAGGTACGGAGAACTGTGTGCGAGAAAAGGCGCTGGCTTAATCCCGGTGCGGAGAGGAAGGGCCGGACCGAGATTGCTGCTGGCTTACTCCCTGCACGCAGAGAGGGCGGGCCGGGCTGAGTTCGCTACTGGCTTACTCCTGGCGCGGAGAGGGCGAACAGTTAACGCGGCTGGCTTTCTTGTCTGAGAGGAAAACAGAATCACCCTATTGCTCTGATAAACGGCCCCAGACAGGGAGAGGCCAGACTGTCAGGCAGTGGGCAGAGATCTCTTGGAGGTGTGTGAAGCCAGAGGCCATTACTGCGGGACTTGGGGAGGAGCCGAAGGGAAAACAAAGTTTGTCTGCACCAACCCGAGACTCCGCCCTATCTGTGGCTGAGCACAGAAGCTCTCCCAGAGGCTGGCTTTCTCTAAGGAGGGACTTGCAGGAATCCAAAGCTTGTCTGCGCCTTTACCAAAGAGGTGCGCGTGCCTGCAACCAATCTTCCAAAACTCTCCATGAACAGGACTTTTCTAAGGCGAGACTGACAGGGAACCAAAGATTGTCTGCGCCACCCCGAGACCCCGCCCTATTCAAGCAGAGTACGGAAACCCTCCTAGCTGAGACACTGCTGATCCTCACAGCCAATTGGCTTGGAGATCAACACTTCCCAGTGATACCAACAATAAGCAAGGCTTAACAACAAGACTGCACACACAGCCCACAAAGGGCTACACCAAGACTGTCCACTGCAGGTAACTGGGAAGGCTGTGCTACTGGGCTCAACCAGAACACCTAGCACACAAAGCTATTCCATCAAATCAGGGAAACAACTAAAATGCAGACAAGAAGAAGGACACAAAGGAAGGAGATGGAGGAAAAGAAAAGATTGGACATTGAGTTCAAAACTACAGTTATAAGGTTATTCAACAATATCCTAAAAAAGGCCGATAAAATAAATGAGACCTATGAGGATATGAAAAGGGAGCAACTAGAAATAATAAGGGATCAACAAGAAATGAAGAAAACATTGTCTGAAATAAAAAATATTATACAAAGTCCTAAAAACAGACTGGAAGATCGCAAGAATCAAGACAAAGATTTAGAACACAAAGAGCCAGAGAAGGGAGAAGATAAGAGAATCCAGAAAGTTGAAGATAGTGTAAGAAACCTCTGGGACAATTTCAAGCGAACCAACATCAGAATTATGGGGATAGAGAGAGAGCAAGATACCGAAAGAGTACTAGAAGAAATAGTGACAGAAAACTTCCCCCACCTGGGGAAAGAAATAGACTTACAAGTCCAGGAAGCCCGCAGAACCCCAAACAAAAGGAATCCAAGGAGGACCACACCAAGACATATCATAATTAAAATTCCAAGAGCAACAGACAAAGAGAGAATATTAAAAGCAGCAAGAGAAAAGCAGGTAGTGACCTATAAAGGAGCACCCATAAGATTGTCAGCTGATTTCTCAACAGAAACCATGCAGGCCAGACGGGAATGGCAAGAAATATTCAAGGTGATGAATAACAAGAACCTACAGCCAAAAATAATCTACCCAGCAAAGCTATCACTCAGAATCAAAGGACAGATAAAGAGCTTCACAAATAAAAAAAAGCTAAAAGAGTTCATCACCACCAAACCAGAATTATATGAATTGCTGAAGAAGGTTATTTAGGAAGAGGAAGAAGATAAAGATAAAAATTATGATCAACAAATACGTAGCTATCAACAAGGGAATCTAAAAACCAAGGGAATTTAAAAATCTGATGAACAATATTAACTGGTGAATATAATAGAATCAGAGGTATGGAAGGGGAGTGGACTGACGATTCTCAGGGAAAAGGGGAGTGGGGGTGCGGGAAGAGACTGAACAAAAACTGTGCACCTATGGATGAGGACAATGGGGGATGGGGAAAGGACAGAGGGTGGGGTGGGAACCTGGTGAAGGGGAGCAATTGAGGGGGGGAAGAGGATCACATTTGTAATAATCTGAACAATAAAGATTTATTTTAAAAAAATAAAAAAATAAAAAAATAAAAAATAAATAAAAAGAGAGAGATGAGGCCTGTCTCTAACCCTGGCAGCTGGATGGGCCACCATAACTGGCCGTGCAGTGGTCAGTGTCCTGTGGACAAGCCCAAGCCTCTCCCTTAAGACAAAATAAATCTCCCTCCAGGAGCTTCCCCACAAGTCCCTGGCTCTGATGGTAACAGCAGTTTCAGAATATGACATATTAGGAAGAAAAGGGATTGACTGGTGGGAACTGGAGGCAGGACAGCCGGCCGCACTGCTGTGACCACTGAGACCGCCATCCAGGCGGAGACACACAGCCAGGCGTGGGTCATGTGGCTGCTCTTTGGTCGCCATAACAGAGCACCGCAGTTGAGGAGCTGAGACAACAGACCTTTGTTTTCCCAGGGCTCTGGGGCGGGGGGAGGGTGGGTGGACAGGAGGGGCCATGAGCTGCAGCTGTTGTCAGGGCTGCTTTCCCCTGGGGCTCCCTCCTTGCTGGAGACTGTCGTCTTGTCAATGTCCTCACATGTTGGCCCTGGGCATGTGTGTCCTAATGTCTCCCTATGGACACCAGTCTTCCCGAATGAGGGTCCACCTTATTGTCCTCGTTTTAACTTACTTCCCCCGAGACAGCCACCGTCAAAGGCAGGCCCACGCGGAGGTTCTGAGGGAGGACTTCCAGTGTAAACGGGAGAACACAGGCTAGTCCTCTGAGGGAGGACTCCCGCTCGAGCTGGGAACGGGCACACAGCCCTCGGGTTTCTGCAGTGGAAGCAGTCGCCGCTTTCCGTTAAGGCTTCTCAGGGTCGGGGCTCCCCCGGGGAGAGTGAGATGCTGGTAAGAAGGGGCTCCTGGTAACAGAGATGCTAAAAGGACCAGAGTTCACTAAAACACTCTTGTTTCTACTCGGTCTTCAACCAGCACTGCTCAGGCTTCTGTCCCCCAGCCCCGGCCCCTGAGATGGATCAGCAAATGTCCTAAGCGCCTCCCCAGCACCATGCGAGCTCTGCTCAGCCTTTGCACTGTGACTTCTCCCTCCCTGAAGAGGGGCCTCTGGGCTCCCCGTCTGTTTTCCTCGCAGCCCCGCCTCCCGATCTGCTCTGTCAGCAACTCTCGGCTGGTGACCGCTTCCAGGGCCAAGTTTCTGTCACGGTCCTCTCCTGGTTCCCCTTTCCGACACTCCAGCCAGATTCTCCTCTGTGGTCACCCTGATCCAGAGCCTCTGGCGGGCCTCACAGGGAGCTCCTTGGCTTAAGGGAAAAGGGGGTACATTTTCATTTGTTCTTAGGAGAGGACAAAAGCTTTTATCAAGTTTAAAACATCCACTTGTCTCCTAAACGTGTCCTTTGTCCAGACCTGTCCTCTGAGCTCCAGGGGTCTCCTGCCTGCTTGACATCTTGCCTGAAATCACCACAACCATCTCTCCCCCAGCCCAGCCTGCTCCTCCTCCCCGTCTCCAAGTCCATCAAGTGGACACCATCCTCCCAATCACCCACACCCAAGCTGAGCACCGCCCAGACCCCTCCGCCACCCTTCCTGGCCCATGGCTCACCCACATCCTGCCCACTCTACCAGCTTCCAGGTCTCCACTGCCCTGACAGACAAGCCCTGCCTCTGTCTGGGCTGTTAAAATAACTCCATGCCCGCTTCGCTCCCACCGCCAGGGTTTCTTTTCACAGACCATGGGAACCTGTGATCAAATTCACATGGAAAGTTGGGAGTCTCTGAGGGTCACGACCCCAGGGCATGGGCATTTTAAATTTGAAAGAAAATGCCTATGGAGTTAATATGGGGTGAGGGAACACTGGAAGCCTGAAAACTGAAATGCCTGCTCTCTGTACATAGGCAGAGACAGGAGGGAGGTCTGAGACAGAGACAGAGACTCCCGGGGACACCCTCCCTCGTCCCAGTCTTGTCCCCAGGGCCCAGCTATCCCCTTCTTGGCACTGGGTGACCCCAGCCCCCTGGGTGGGGCAAATGCCCTGAGATTTCTGAGGATGCCTCAGGGACGGCCACCTGGCCCCAGCACAGACCTACATGGCCAAAGGGACACACCCACCTCGGCTTCTCCCCCAGGCTCTGCCCCAGCCCCCACCCTGGGCTCCCTTGTCCGAGTTTCTATCAGGAGTCAATAATGCTCCCAGAAAAAGGAACCTGCTTAGTAGTGGGGTGCAGGGGGAGGCTGCTGACTTCCACTCTCAAGCCAGCTGAGTCACTGTCAGCTCCGGGCACCGGCTCACTCTCCCGGCCAGCATGTGGCAGCTGCTGCCGCCGGCGGTCCTGCTGCTCCTGGGTAAGTCGGCTGCCGCTGAGGGAGACACTCAGGATGCCTGGGCCCAGGCCCCGACGGATCCTTCTCACCTCGAAGGCCGCCAGCCTGGACTTAGCTCGTAGGACAACCCGCTGGGCGGCTAGAGACAGGGAGCCACTCTGAGCTGGGCCCTGTCAGGAGGGGAAGGGGACTGCGACACCTCCGTCCTCTGGCTCCCCATGGGCAAGCTGAAGAGTCTGGACCAGACAGACGGTCCCGAAGGCCTGTCCCTTCCGTGGGACATCCTAGGCTTCCTCTCTAAGACTTGGCACCTCTTCTCTCCAGGGGACTTGGTTGCAGTTGTTTCTAGGCCTTCGTTCAGGGAAATCCAATCCGTGTTGTTAGTCAGGGACCGAGGAGTAACGGGATGCTTTGGAAAACAGAGATTCGGGTGGACCATGGGGGTGGGGAGGAGTCACAGACATCGGAGACCAGAGCGTAGGCAGCGGGACAGCTGGCCACTGTCTGTGTCCTGGTTCCGGCCCCTGGCCCGGGGCAAGGCGGGCGGGGGCCGAAGCTCAGCCCCTGCAGCCGCCACTCCCTGCTGGGCTCAATTTCTGTTTCACTCTTTTCTCTGCAGCGTCAGCCGGCACCCAAGCTGGTGAGTCTGCTTCCAGGTGTCAGACCGATCCAGTGAGGCCCTGAGGATGCAGTTGCCACGCTGTGGCCACACCGAGTGGAGGGCCAGCAGGGACAATTGCTCCAACTCGGTGGGCTTGGCCCTACGCTCCTTTAACCAGTTTTCCTCAACATAAAGAGGCCGGAAGTGGGGCCAGTGCCTCCAAGCCAAGATGCTCTGAGGCTGAGTCCCAGACCAAGGCAGAGCCGCCAGCTGTGGTTTGGGGGGGGCTGGTCCGGGGATGCAGGGCGGGGACCCCCCCACCTCAGCCGCCTCACCCACACTCTCCTGTCTTCTCAGAAAGTCTCCAGAAGGCTGTGGTGTCCCTGCATCCGAAATGGGACAGGCTGCTCGAGAGGGACAACGTGACTCTGCGGTGCCAGGGGGCCCAGGCTGAGGGGAACGGTTCCACACTGTGGTGGCACAATGGCCACCTCCTGCCAAGCCAGAGCTCCAGCCACTTCATCGCCTCCGCCAGCGTGAACGACAGCGGGGAGTACATGTGCCAGACCAGCCGCTCCAGCCTCAGCGACCCGGTGCAGCTGCAAGTCCGCGCTGGTGAGTGGTGATGGGGCGAGGGGCGTCGCCAATAAGGGGTGACACAGAGACCGGAGGGGCTGGTCAGAGCCAGGTGATGTTCGAGGGGCTAGGACTTAGGTGAGAGGACCCGTGACCCCTGTGGGGTGCATTTGCATTGGGTCCTGCCCCTGGTGGGACCTCGCAAGTAGAGACACAGGACTGCTGCCCGGGTGGGAGCCGCACCGCAGAGGACACACAACAGTGCTGATCGCATAGGTAGTGGGTCTGTTCTCAGGACCTCCACCTCCTCCTCACTTTCAGGCCCACAAAGCCCTGAGCTGCCCCACACCACCCCTAATGGCCGAGCGTCGTCTCTTTCCCGTCAGCACCACATTCAGGCTCCCCGCATCAATGTCTCCCAGACACACATATCCTCGTGTGCCCTGCACAGCGACCGTGGAGTGAAAGTGTGTGGTCGGTGGGACTCAGGCACCAGAGGAGGGCAGGGGGCAGTGAGGTGGGCAGGGGCACAGAGAGGCGGGCAGGGGCACACTGAGGCGGGCAGGGGGGCAGTGAGGCGGGCAGGGGGGCAGTGAGGCGGGCAGGGGGGCAGTGAGGCGGGCAGAGGGGCAGTGAGGCGGGCAGAGGGGCAGTGAGGCGGGCAGGGGGGCAGTGAGGCGGGCAGGGGGGCAGTGAGGCGGGCAGGGGGGCAGTGAGGCGGGCAGAGGGGCAGTGAGGCGGGCAGAGGGGCAGTGAGGCGGGCAGGGGGGCAGTGAGGTGGGCAGGGGGGCAGTGAGGCGGGCAGGGGGGCAGTGAGGCAGGCAGGGGGGCAGTGAGGCAGGCAGGGGGGCAGTGAGGCGGGCAGGGGTGCAGAGGCGGGGACTCTCCTGTGTCCCCGGAACTGCACCGCAGGCCTGTTCCTGCCGAGGCTGCCCCAGTGAAAGGAGGCCCTCAGAGCAAGCCCAGAGGGAGAGCCCTGAGCGGACCTGCCGCTGAGTGCGGCTGCCTGTCCAGAGCTGACCCTCAGCACGGAGCCCGGGAGGAGTTATTAGCTAGCGGGGAGCAGAGTGCCGCCTAAGGCCCAATAAAATGGGGATTTGCCAACAGGGAGCAATAGAAAAGTCAAGTCTAAGAGTGTCAGTTTGTCTAGAGATGGGCTTCAGAAGGCCAGCCAGTGAGGGCTGAGTTAAACTGCGACCCTGACCACTAACTAACCTCTCAGGGTGTCTCCCTCGGGGACCCATCTCACCCTCCTCGGAGGGCTTTCCTCTGCTCACTTCCCCTGGCGGGCCTCCCCGGGCTCCGGCTGTGCCGCACTCACCTCTCTGCGGGACATTTCCGGGTCCAAACTGCAGGTTCTTTGGGTTAGGATCACAGTCCTGGTCCTCTGGGTTTGCACATCAGAGCACATACTTGATAAAACGTTTGTCAGACGAACAGGTGAGTCCAGGACAGGACAGACAGGAACAGGTGTGTCCCTGAGTCACCAGGCCACAGGCACATCGCACAGCACCACGTGGTCAGTGACGACCAGCTCTGCTCCCAGGGAGTGGGTACACCGATGTGGCCTCTTCTGAGAAGTGATATTTATTGATAAATAATGAAGGTGACCTGTTTAGCAGTATTCGAGGTAGAGAATTTTTATGTTCTGCCAATTTTGTTTAGCATAAGGGCGCCTAGTCTTTAAATCACAATTAGTTCTGTTTTGTTCTGCTCACAGAAGCCATTAGGTTTTCATAAACGTGTGAGGTGAAAGGGAGACACGTCATGTCTGAAAACAAAGTGCAGGCGCCTTTCTGTGTCCCGCGGGGGTGTCCTCTCCGCTGTCTTTTTAGCCTAACGTGGTCTCCTGAATGTTCCTGGGTCATTTTAACTTTATTTGTACTGATTTCAGAGAGAGGCAGGGAGAGGGAGACAGACAGACACATCTGATGAGAGAGAATCTTGCTCGGCTGCCACACACACACACACACACACACACACACACACACACCCTGCGGATCAAGCCCGCAGCCTGGCCGGGTACCCCGGACCCCGTTGCTAGGGCGGCGGAGCCGCACCGGCCGGGCCTCCTGCCGCCGTGAAGCTCCCCGGCGATTCCTCCCGTGTCCCCGCCGGCCAGTGGGTCCGGCCCGGGGCGCTGCTCCCCGGGGGGCGGCGCCGCAGACACGCCGCCTCCCACGCCGCCCCGCCGCCTCTCCTCCCGCACCCTCCGCACTGCCGCTCCGGCCGCCGGGGCCTGCCTGGGGGTCCCCGTCCTCCGGCAGCCCCTCCCCTGGGACCCCTGAGGCGGCCAGTCCCCGTTCCCGGCCCTCACTGCGCAATGGGGTGCTGCTCCGACACCGCCACCGCAGCCGCCCCCGGGGCTCCCCTCGCCCGGCCTCCGAGCGTCCGCCCGTTAGACCGCGGCCGCTCCTCCCGCAGCGCCGCTGGGAAGGGCCGTGTGCTCCCCGCTTCCCCCTCACCCCGGGTTGGGGCGGGGGCGGGGGGGGGGTGACGGGGGCTGGGCGGGGTCCCCCGGGGAGGGGCGGGGTCCCCCGGGGAGGGGCGGGGTCCCCCGGGGAGGGGCGGGGTTCCCCGGGGCTGGGCGGGGTCCCCCGGGGAGGGGCGGGGTCCCCCGGGGAGGGGCGGGGTTCCCCGGGGAGGGGGGGTCCCTCGGGGAGGGGCGGGGTTCCCCGGGGCGGGGCGGGGTCCGGCCCGGGCTGAGCCGCCTGTCCCGCAGCCTGGCTGGTGCTGCAGGCGGCGCGCTGGCGGCTGCGGGAGGGGGAGCCGCTGGAGCTGCGCTGCCACAGCTGGAGGGACAAGCCGCTGCGCAACGTGCAGTTCTTCCAGGACGGCCGCGGCCGCCAATTCTCGCACCGCAGCAACGCCTTCAGCGTGGCCCGCGCCTCCGCCGCGCACAACGGCTCCTACTTCTGCCGCGGCCTCATCGGCAAGCTCAACGTGTCCTCCGAGGCTGCGGCCGTGCTGGTGGAAGGTGAGGTGGCTGAGCCCCCCCGTCTCTGAGCCTCCATGTCTCTGAGCCCCCATGTCTCTGAGCCCCCATGTCTCTGAGCCCCCATTTCTCTGAGCCTCTGAGCCCCCATTTCTGTAACTAAGACCGCGGACGGCTGGGCCCCTGATGGCCGCGCCCCCACAGGGGGAGCCAGGCCGCGGCCTCCGCAGGAGGAGCTGGGTGAGGGCGTCCGGTCCTCAGGTCACAGCTAAGGTCCAGTCCCTAATGCCGCAGCCAGCACGTGTATGTGAGAGTGTGTGTGTGTGTGTGTGCGCGCGCGTGAGTGCGTGTGAGTGTGTGAGTGTGTGTGAGTGTGTGTCCGTGTGCTGTTCACACACCCATGTCTTCTGGCTGGCTCGGCCCATGACGGATCAGAGCACCCATCCATCCGTCAGAGCAGCCACACACACTCATATACACACACACACACACTCACACACATACTCATACACGCATACACACACACACATTCACACACACATTCTCACATACACACACACTGACACATACACAACAAACACACACATTCTCACATTCACACAAACACACACACACAGTGCTCCTGAGCTCCTGGTGCCACAAAACACCAACCTGGAACCAGACCCAGACCATAGCAAACAGAGATGGAACGACATCTAATGCGACTTTCACACAGCAAAGCCATCGTTTGTATGAAAATAATCTCATTGCGTTTAAATTTAAAGTAAAAAAATTCTCAACTGGTGAGGGAAAGAAAAGACAAATAATGAAGCAGCTGGCCAGAACACCAGCACTTAGCAATGCCAGGAAAGAACAGGCAAGTGTTTTCTGTATGGTTCTGATAACGTATGTCAGTTTGAAGTTAAATCAAAATTAAGGGTTAAAAGTTGAAATAAAAAATCAAGTATAGCCTGATCACGGTGGCCCAGTGGCTGAACATCAACCTATGAACCAAGAAGTCATGGCTGATTCCTGGTTGGGGCACATGCCCACGTGTGGGCTCGATCCCCAATCATGCAGGAGGCAGCGATCAATGATTCTCTCTCCCTTTCCCTTCCTGTCCAAGATTTTATATACTATTATATACTATTATAAAATGTGTATACACACACACACACACACACACACACACTAGAGGTGCATAAAATTCGTGCACAGAGAGGGTGTGTCCCTCAGCCCAGCCTGCACCCTCTCCAACTCTCCAATCTGGGACCCCTCAAGGGATGTCCAACTACCCTCTCACAATCCAGGACTGCTGGCTCCCAACTGCTTGCCTGCCTGCCTTCCTGATTACCCCCTAACTACTCCCCTGCCAGCCTGATGGATGCCTAACTGCTCCCCTGCCAGCCTGTTTTCCCCTAACTGCCCTCCCCTGCGGCCCTGGTCACCCTTAACTGCCTTTCCCTGAAGGCCTGGTCACTCCTAACTGCCCTCCCTTGCAGGCCTGGGTTCCCCCCAACTGCTCTCCCCTGCAGGCTTGATTGCCTCCAACTGCCCACTCTTGCAGGCCTGGTCCCTCCCAGCTTCTCTCCCCTTATGGCCATCTTGTATCCACATGGGGGCAGCCATCTTTGACCACATGGGGGCAGCCATCTTGTGTGTTGGAGTGGTCAATTTGCATATTACTCTTTTATTAGATAGGATAGAGGCCTGGTGCACTGGTGAGGGCCAGCTGGTTTGCCCTGAAAGGTGTCCCAGATCAGGGTGGGGGTTCCCTTGGGACGTGGGGCACCTGGGTGAGGGGCCTGTGGTGATTTGCAGGCTGCCCACGCCCTCCAGCGACCCACGCCCCCCGGAGGCCCTGGTATCTGGGATTTATTTACCTTCTATAATTGAAATTTTGTAGCCTTGAGTGGAGCCAAGCCTCCTGCTCACTCTATGGCTGCAGCCATTTCTGTTGGGATTTATTTATCTTTTATAATTGAAACTTTGTAGCCTTGATGAAGTCCACCACAGGCCAGCATGTGCGGCGAGCTTGGCTTCCTCCATTGCCAGGGAAACCCAAGCCTCCTGCTCCCTCCATGTCCACAGCCATCTTGGTTGGGTTAATTTGCATACTCACTCCTGATTGGCTAGTAGGTGTGGCTTGTGGAGGTATGGTCAATTTGCATATTATTCTTTTATTAGATAAAATATACAATTTCTGTATTTTAAATCCAGTATAATGTTTCCAGTCTGTAGACAGCAGCAAGTAATGAGTCTAAAGCTTGTCATCAAGGGCTCAGAGGCTCAGCCTGAGCCCCACCTAACTCCCTTTGAATTAGTTCCTGCCGATAAGGAGCAAATATCAATGGCTCTCAGTTTGTCAGATTTCCTTTAGCGACAACGAGCAATGTGGGGAAGAGCAATGAGTGTAATTTTGAGACATTGAAATTAAGAAATAATGTTCTCACACCAACTTAAACTTTGACAACTTTCAAAATCCACACCAAACCCAACACCCTAACGCGCTAGGTCCTCCCAAGGCAGCCTCGCTCATCCCAGCAAGCAGATGCCAGTGGGAGGAGCAAAGGAAGGTGTCAGCATGGCCCTCCACTAATGACCTTGCCCTTGATTCCAAATGTCCGCCTTAACAACGGCATTTCTCCGCCCCTCTGCCTCTCGCACAGCGCTGGCCATCCCCCGCATCTCCCCAGGGCGCCTCATCCTGCTCTGCCTGCTGCCAGGACTCTGTTTGCTGTGGACTCGTGGCTGTACTGCTCTGTGCGGAGAGGCCTTTGCAGCTTATCGAGGAACAGGACGAATGACACCGTCACTTGGCACAAGAGCCTCCAGGACAAGCAGGAGCAATAACCGCAAAATCCTGACCTTCAAGCCTCAGAGGGAAGGCGGGGGGCGTTGGGGGGGGGCAGGGAGACAACCAAAGGACTTGTGTGCATGCGTATACGCATAACCAATGGGCACAGTCTGTAGGGGTGAGGGCATGTGCTGTGGGACAGGAGTGGATAAGGAGAGGTCAATGGGGGGAAAGAGACATATGAAATGTTTTCAACAATAAAGAATTTAAATTTAAAAAAAAAAAAAGCAGACCCTCTGAGCCCCTTTGTGTTCACATCGTCCCCACACACCCCTGGCAGGGACAGGAACTCCACACGTCAGCCTGGACTGATGGGCCTTCCCCCAGCTCTGTTTTCTCTTGCTCTGTAATGGAAAGATTGTCATTTTTCTCAATCTGTTTGGGTTGTGTGTTTTTTTTAACTAGAAGCCCAGTGCACGAAATTCATGCATGAGGTGAGGGGGTTCCTCAGCCCAGCCTGCACCTTCTCCAATCTGGGATCCCTCTCACAACCCAGGACTGCTGGCTCCCAACTGCTCCTGCCTGCCTTCCTGATTGCCCATAACTGCTCTGTCTGCCAGCCTGATCACCTCCTAACACTCCCATGTCAGCCTGATTGATGCCTAACTGCTCCCTGCCAGCCTGTTTGCCCCCAACTTCCCTCCTCTGCTGTCCTGATCACCCCAATTGCCCTCCCCTGAAGGGTTGATCGCCTCCAACTGCCCTCCCCTGCAGGCCTGGTACCTCTCAACTGCCCTTCCTTGCAGGCCTGGTGCCTTCCAACTGCCCTCCCCTGCAGGCCATCTTGTGGTGGCCATCTTGTGTCCACATAGGGGCAGGATCTTTGGCCACAGGGCAGCAGCCATACTGTGTGTTGGAGTGATGGTCAATCTGCATATTACTATTTTATTAGATAGGATAGAGGCTGGTACATGTTTAGGGGCCAGCTGATTTGCCCTGAAGGGTGTCCCAGATCAGGGTGGGGGTTCCCTTGGGTGGCCTCAGCGAGAGGCCTGTGGTGGTTTGCAGGCCAGTCACGTCCCCTGGCGACCCAAGTGGAGGCCCTGGTATCTGGGGTTTGTTTAACTTTTACAATTGAAACTTTGTAGCCTGGAGTGGAGCCAAGCCTCCTGCTTGCTCCGCTGTCACCATTTCTGTTTGGATTTATCTATCTTCTATAATTGAAACTTTTTTATAAAAACATTTTATTGATATTACAAAGAGGAAGGGAGAGGTATAGAGAATTAGAAACATTGATGAGAGAGAAACATCGATCAACTGCCTCCTGCTCACCCCCTACCAGGAATGTGCCTGCAACTGAAGTACATGCCCTTTATCAAAACTGAACCTGGGGCCTTTCAGGCACTGAGCCAAACTGGTTTAGGCTCTAATTAAAACTTTGTAGCCTTGAGTGGAGGCTTAGGCTGGCTAGGGCAGGCGGAAAGCTTGGCTTCCTCCATTGCCGCGGAAACCCAAGCCTCCCTCCTGTTCTCTGTGGCTGTAGCCATCTTGGTTGGGATTAATTTGCATACTCACTTGGTTGAGTATTGGCTGGTGGGGTGTAGCTGGTGGGTGTGGCTTGTGGGTGTAGTAGAGGTATGGTCAATTTGCATATTACTCTTTTTTTAGGTGGGATCACAGTTGACACAGAATGCCATACTGTTTCAGGTATGCACACCACAGTGAAGTTGCAGAGCCAAACAGCACCCAGCAGGGCAGAGCAGAGCGCAGTTGCTTGGGTGGTGAGCCTTGACGTATGAACTGTTTTTAAGTGACTGGGCCAGTGGATAAGAGCATGGATGGCGAGTGCCACAGGCGGTGGTCTGCACCCTGCTGCAGGACAGCGCCACCGGGTGCTCCAAAACTCCTCCGGACAGCAGTGGGACTGCTGGGTCTGGGAGAAGCAGCAGGGTGAGTGAAGGGGGCTGAGAAACAACAGGTGGCAGGACAGACTAGAGTGTTGGGGAGCACAGGAAACTTGGTTGGAAAGTTGGGAGGAGGACATTCTGAGAAAAGGGGAGTGTGTGGAGGCCTCCTGCCTTGTTTATCAGAATTCCGACTTAGGGGAGTGCTGGAGGCTAAGACCAGCAGCAGCTCGCATATTAATGCCATATTCCTCAGGGCTGAAAATTAGCATAATATTGCCCTGCTGTTGGCCAAACAGCCCAAGGCAATTCCCTAACCTGATACTTCTTTTATTGTTTACCAAACTTTGCCTTTGATATGCCTGTACGCATTCCTAAAGGGAAAATATGTATTCAAGTGAATAATAAGCTGACCGGACACAGCTGTCAGGGAGCTTCTCCACTAGAGTGAAGTTTCCACTAGGCCCCCACGCCTTCTAAATTCCTATTTCTTGTCTAATTTTTCATCTGTGTGTGGCCCCTTCTTTAGATCCTGAACCCTAACTGCAAATGGGTGTGGATTCACAGGGGAGATTTAGGGGTGTGTTGAAGGCAGCACCCCTGGTTGTTCCTTGGCCTTTCCAAACAAGTCTGTGCACGAGCAGACTCCGGTGTTTACTGGAATCCTTATACTTGCTCCCTGGATGTCCTTACCTAGAAGACAATGTAAACACATGTGTCCTCCCAAGATTACCCACCCTACGGATTGTACCTAAAGATAAACATTCCAATAAAGGCCTAACCAGGCAAGCAATAGAGGCTGCCTGGCCGCTATAATCCAGGGTCTCCTCAGCCCTCTCTTTTTATCTTTTTATTTTAAACAAATCTTTATCGTTCATATTATTACAAATGTTCCTCATTTTTCCCCCCTCCTCATTTTCCCCCCCTCCATTGTTCCCCTCCACCAGGTTCCCACCCCACCCTCTGCCCTTTCCCCACCCCCCATTGTCCTCATCCATAGGTGCACAGTTTATGTTCAGTTTCTTCCCACACCCCCCACTCCCCTTTTCCCCGAGAATCGTCAGTTCGCTCCCCTCCTTTTTTTTTTAAATATATATTTTATTGATTTTACACAGAGAGGAATTGAGAGGAATTGAGAGGGATAGAGAGTTATTAGAAACGTCGATGAGAGAGAAACACCGACCAGCTGCCTCCTGCACAACCCCCACTGGGGATGTGCTTGCAACCAAGGTACATGCCCTTGACCGGAATCGAACCTGGGACCTTTCAGTCCGCAGGCCGACGCTCTATCCACTGAACTAAACCGGTCCGGCTGACTCCCCTTCTATACCTCTGATTCTATTATATTCACCAGTTAATATTGTTCATCAGGTTTTTTAATTCCCTTGTTTTTTAGATTCACTTGTTGATGGCCACGCCCTCCATCACAGCCCCTGGCCACGCCCTCCATCACAGCCCCTGGCCGCCCCTCCATCACAGCCCCTGGCCGCCCCTCCATCACAGCCCCTGGCCGCCCCTCCATCACAGCCCCTGGCCGCCCCTCCATCACAGCCCCTGGCCGCAGCTCCTGTGAACCAACCACTCAGCTTGCAGACTCGCCTGGTCCTGTCCCTGTACGAGCGGCCCCGGGGCTGTTACAGGTGTAGGGAGGGCGGGGAGGGGAGTAGGAGAGCAGAGTGGAGGGAGGCAGGGCCAGAGCAGAGGTGACCAGCCACACTGCTGGCGGTGAGCTGCACGCGGAGCTGAGCGCCGAGTGAATGCATACGGGCCGCGGGCAGGAGGCATCCACGGGAGCCCTGCACCTTCACCTGCGCCTGTTTGGCACCTGCACTGGACAGCAGGCACCAGCACAGGGTCACCCCTGGGCGTGTCACTCTAGTGAGAACAATAGTAAGGAAGGAGGTGAAGAGGCTTCCTTTGCGGGTGTGTGTGTGTAGGACGAGTGGGAGTTTGCCAAGCAGAGAGGAGAAAGGCTGATCCAAGAGCAAAGAGAGCCCAGATTCAAAGCCAGAGAGGAGCGAGGACGAGGAGGGATGCGGCCTGGGCGGGGCTCCGCCTCCTAGGCTGGGAACCTGCGCGGCCGGCGCCCGGGCGGGAGCGGGCGGGTCGGCGTTTGGAAGCTGAGCGCCGCGCCCGGCGGGAGGGGGAGCGGGAGGCAGACTCCGCCAGCCTCCGCGGTGATGGCCGGCGGGCGGGAGGGGAGGGCCCACTCCGCCACGACTCGGGAGCAACAGGAGTGGGGGCCGGGTCCCCACGGGTCAGGAAACCAGCGCGGTCAGGCGGGGCCAGGCGTGGGGAGTGACTCCCCTTTGGGTTTTGACTTAACCCGGAAGCGCTCATTAAGGAGCCAGTCCGCGCAAGGTCAGTGGGACCTCCGTCCAGCAGCCAAGGGTTTTATTCCTAACGCGGCCCCGCGCAAGTGCCGGCGTCGCCCCGGGGCCGGGGGTGCCGGGAGCCTCATCCAAAAGAGGTCGTCAGGCTCAAAACGGACACCCACGTCCCTGGGTGGGCTCGAACCACCAACCTTTCGGTTAACAGCCGAACGCGCTAACCGATTGCGCCACAGAGACAGGCGCAGGCCTCCCTTGCTGGAAGGTTGTTAACCACAACAAAGCCCCGGCGCCGCCCGGACTCCCGCGCCGCGGCTGCCCGGGAGCTGGACGGTCCCGCCGGCGCCTGGCGCGCGGATGCGCGTGAACCCAGCAGGGCTCCACCCGCCTCCCCTCTGAGCTCCGGAGGCTCGGGAGGGGGCGTCGTGGGTGGATGGACCAAGGGTCTTAGGGGAGCCAAGGTGAGTGCTCCCTGTGCTCCGGAGTTCACTGGAGTGCTCAGAGAAGTACGTCCACAAACTTTTGCTGATCTAGACAATTTACTATCTCATGTGTACATGTGCGAGTACTAACTCACAACAATCTTACTGTGAAAATTTAAAATACCAACTGTGTCCCGCAAAATACAAAGCCTGGGTAAGCGGGCCTAGCATCTCCCACCCAGCCGTTCTGAAGGGTTCCTGCTGGCGCGTTCGGGCCCGGGCAGAGCACACCTTCTAGATGCCTGTGGTTGAATGAATGGCTTTCACAGGTTACATCGAACTCAAATCTCGGAGGGCAAAGACCCCTTTTCCAACATCGTCAACCCGGCCCCCGGGTCAGTGCCCCGCACCCCCACCCCCACCCCCCAGAGAAACTTCTGCCTTTGTCCCTGGGCCGTCTCAAGGCCACAGGGCTCGTGAGTCCCATCACCTTCCCCGGGCGTAACTAGCACTTGGCACACCAAGTC